GTATATTTCTCCATCAAAAAATACGACTGCCATCGTTTTACACCGACAAAGGGTTCCTATTTCCTTTATCTTTTTGAAGAGGCCACTTTTCCGCTTGAAAAAAGTATTGTGCCTATTTTTTCGGTTTTTAATAGCACATATTTCTATTTTTCTACGACCCATGATGGTCTCAAGACGATCGAGTGAAATACTCTGAACACAAGCATTTCTCGAATAGGTGAAAGCTTGATACAATTGTAAAACAGTTTCATTTTAATTAAATTTTACTATGTGTACTCTCCTCAATGAGTGGAAAGTTTTACAAATTCAAAATTCCATTGACCATGCGTCGATGGAATTTTGAACTGTGAAAACTGCCATAAAGGCTAGCTTGTCAAGAGAAACCGGAAAAATAATTATTGTTTTATTTACAAGTGACGTTGCCAAAGCTTAACAGGCTTTTGTCAAGGAGAGACTGGACAAATACGTCGCTTTTGTTAAACGCCAAGCTCTTAACAATGAGCAAGATATGACAAACCTTATTGAAATACTGGATGGCTTCCACTTTCTCGTCAAGCAGAGTCATTACGATTCCCAACCATGCATATAACCGGGCAGAAAAGGGACACGACGCCAAATTCGTTGCAGGCAGAGGATCCATCGGGCTGGGTGCAATATCTCCGGTGAAGAACTCCAAGCTTTCAGCCCCTTTCAAATGATAGGCCGAATTACCAAAATCAGAAACGTTCAAGTAGGAGATGCCTAATGAAACTAAAAGAGAAAATCTGGCTTCCATCGGAAAATGGGGAAAGTGTTTAACAGCCTCAATGGCCAACAACCCATTATTGATGGCCAAGTCCCATCTGATCGATATAAATTGCCATAACCCCTACCTGTTTTGATGGGCGTAAAAAGCACTTAATGATATCAGGATTTCCGGATGGTCTTTTTCCTCAGATTGAGCAGATAAAAAGTATTTCTCGGCAATATTCAACTTTTCATTGATGACAAACTCTTTTGCTAGAAACATGAGCGGATAGATGGATCTAAGGATTAGCATAAAGACAGACTTTGGCAGCAGCCCAGAGGCGTTTTTATAGCAAGAGATAGCCAACTCGTGTTCCCCGAAGATTGAATAAACATGACCCGCCCCAATCCAAAGATATGGAAAGCTTTTGGTGCCAACATTTATGCCCTTTAAAAAAGAGCGTTTGGCCTCATCGAATTTCTTCTTGAGCAAATAAAAGCACCCGATTGCAAAAAGAGAAATTTCGGATCTTGGATTGTCAAGTATAAGTCTCTGTGCAATTGAAAAGAGCAACATGTCGTCCGCAGACTCGAAAGCTCCCGAGATCACGAACGGCAAATGATCATAATAATGAGGGAATGTCATTGAAAGTCTAAAGTAAAAAGAACATTTGTACTTTTGGGAGCAATCAAATGCCGTGGCATAGTCGTAGTTGAGATATGCCTTTTCAACAAAAATACGTTTAAATGGCAACATGTCTTCAAGTGCAACATCGGGATGCCTCAAAGTAACATCATTCTAAGGGATAAACAACGTCACAACTACAGTAAGCGTGTCGCAGAACGAAAGTTGGTAGAAAGCCACTGCGAAAGTGTCATTATTTGCAATTAGCTGGTCTATGACAACCGATGCGAATGCATGCACTACAAGGTTATTGCGGTATGTTTTTTACAATCCGAGCTGGAAAGTATTTTCAGCGATTTGATGCATTCGAACGCCTATGGTAAAGACGGCAAACCGACCTTGACATTGTTTGGATCCAATAAAACCGCCTTTTTAAACAAAATAAGAGCTCGGTCCATCCATCCCAATCGATAAGAGATCTTTCCAAATAAAAATAGCAGCAGCGATAATTTATAAGCCTCTCTTTGATCTTGCACGCTGTTGAACAAAGAGCTATTTTTCTCCAAAAGTTCATAGGCGGTCGAAAATTCCTCCAACTCAATCTATGGGGATAAGAAACAGCATGTACATAGCACTCCAAAGTTAGTGCCAAGTTTCGAATGCAAGATAGTCTTTCCGTTCCACAAGGAAGCAACAAGATATCCAATGACTGGCGAAACCGCTTATTGTGGAAATATACCAACGCGATCGAATAGTAATCATCAGCGGTGTCTAAAGTTATCCCCATGCGTGCGTACTTGATAAGCCAAGCAAAATTTCGCCCCAGAAGATGGCAGCTTCCCAATTTCGGTCTTCAGTGTAGCATGTGAATTTTGATCTAATTTCGCTCTTGAGTGAGGCGGAGTTGGTATAGGCAAAAGCGAGGCTTTTTCCCTCTACAATATCTCGAGCCCGAACTTTTTTTTGGTTTGCGCTACTTATGTTTAGTGAATTTTCTGTATTTTGCTCACTAGCCAGATCAAATAGCATGTCTTTTTCTTGATGCATTGGTGCACTTTAGGGAATTTATAAAATATTTTAAATTTTACACGCCAACATAAACAGCTGGCTGGCACGTATAAACGGCAAAGGTACAACAGGTGCAGCAGGCACGCCTGCATAAAGGTGCGCTTAAACAAGATACCCACTGCTTTTTTGCATGTAACTTTTTAAAATATCGGCCAAAGACTCGTTTTCACCCTCCAAGTGATTGGGTTCGTTTAGACACAGCTCTAAAAGAAAATACATCCAGCTTACTTGAGAGCTCAAACATGTCAACATTTGGGATACCAGAGAGCGGTATGTATTGAAACGATGTCTTTGAAGCCAGGTTTAAAAACCCGTTTTCCGCTTGCGCGTGCAGATCTTTCGTATCTGCGTTAAAATTGCTTTTGCCATCTTGGCGATTCGTACTTGGCTGCGAAAGGCTATTTAAGATCTTGTCTATTTCGTTAAACTCTAATGTCGAAAAGCGGCGCGTCGAAAAGCAGCGTAACAAATGGCCGGACATCCGTGCCGCCCCGATGCTTGGGCAGAATGTCATGGGCAAGTTAAAAATAAATATTTTTATTTGCCATTTTTACAATTCTTTCTCCGCTGCGTCAGAAGGGTTGCCAAATTCTGAGGCCGAGCATTTTTGGAGGCATTGAACCGGGTGCTGAGAGCCTTTTCGATGTCCGAAGCATGTTCTGGCAGCAATTGCAAGCCGCCGATGGATATCTTTTTCAGCAGTTCTGCATCTATTTTCTGCTGAAACTCGATGTCCTCCTTTTCGGATCTAAATTTTTGGCGGACAACTTGGGATGATCGATAATCGTCCTTCCAGATGCTTTTCTGCGCATTAAATAATCGCTCCAAGTATGGAGCCGCTTCTAATGCAACATTTTCGTCTTCAATGGATTTCTCTAGCCGGAAGAACGCATTTGTAGCCCTTTTCTTCTGCACCTCGACATCCTCTTCCGGTCGCAAAACGGTCGATCCTGGCTGGTGAACCCACGTCTCGATTTTTCTTCTGGCCCCTTCGATGACTTTATAATCTGTTTCCTACACAATGCAAATGTTAGATGGGACGAGACAAACCTTTGGGTCTGTCTGAATTTCAAACCAGTTTGGACATTGAGCACATTTCATCCGAAATGACAAAATAGGGGTGGTGAAGTAATCTCCGACCTTTTTTTTCTGTGCATTGAACCTAACTCCCATCGCTATGTGGGCATTGCAGCCTCCACACCAAATATTAAATGGCATTTCGAATCGGATAGTTACAGACCCATCTCCCTTTGGGCCGGTTCGGGCTGGCGTGGGAGTCTTGGATTTTTTGTATTTATTGATCGATCCCTATCAATTAGTGTCTTTGTGTATACATGTGATGGATCCCAATCCGGTGGATAATATTTGTTCACCGCCTTTCGCTCGGCCTACAACATTATTGATTAGCCGTCTTTTGGTTACCATTGGCAAAGTGGAAAGGTTAAAAATTAATTTTTATTTTCTCAACTTTCCATGCACCACACCATGAAAACTTTGTCAAAAGTGCAAATCTCCATTACTTGATGTGTTGGAAACGATCGACAACGGCCCGCATTTGCAAAACATCCCATTCCTTTGCGCTGATCCACGACTCTCGAGATGCGTCGACCCGTGCAATGACGCCAGCGCCCTTCCATGCCAACGAGCCAATATCAATATCCTTCGGGAGGCTAATGTATGAAATGAGAGATTCGCTTTCAATGGACGGAGGCATCGAAACCGATGCAAGTGGCGACTTGCTTGACAATGCCAGTTCGGACAGCTTTTTTCTAAGCATCTGCTGAAACCCCGCGATTTGATGGCCGCTGCCAACCAAAAGAATCATCCCAAGCCATTTCCGTATCTTGTCAATTCGATCTGCATTTTCATGTTTTAAAATGGCGCTGAAAATCAGCTCATGCAGGGATGAAAGCTCGTTTTTTATATTGCACGGTTTTTTCTCACTTTTGCTCGCTGCCATGGGGGCTTGAGAGGGAGAGGGGAATAATTCCTCCGTGATGTGCCTCATAATATGAATTTCTAAATTATCAATTGAGGAAAAAAAGTGGCCACATGTAGCATGTGAGTTTCTGTCTATCCATTGACAAGTAACGTCTGTCGCATTCATATGTGCACTTGCTATGTGATTAAATAGAGCCTTAATTTCCGGCGTCTCGCCTTGAAAGCAACAGCACGAAATCGAGGGTTCCTTCATCAAACAGGCCCTGCAGCAGGGGCACGTGTCTGACGTGATAGTAGAGGATGCAGAAAGCTGTTCATTGGCACATGGTGCTAATGATACTGACAGAGAAGAGCCCAGGTTTATTGAATCTTCAATAAAGCTATTCTCATCCTGTTCGTCCGCGATCTGCTCAGCCAAGATTTTTTTCTTTGTTTTCTCAACCATCAATACTTCGGAATCTTGGTCAGAAAGAAAATATTGCGAGGCTTTGAGAGAAGCTGCAGCACGAGAGGGTACATCGATAAATGACGGGTTAAAGTAAGTTAGTGGAGACATGATTCTCTCCTCGTGTGCTTTAAAGTGATACGAGGCGGTAGATCTTCCCGGAATCCTTACAAGAAAGTCAACCACTTGGGTCGATAATTCAGTAGCATCCTCCAAAGTCCAACAGCGTTCTTTTAACTCGGTTAAAAGATTTACGTCTGGAGAACACGAAAGAGATAATGCGGTATACGGGAAATCTATGCCCTTTAGTAATTCCATGAATAAAATAAGAATATCGTCCGATCCAAAACCAAGCGATTGTCGAGAATCAACGTCAAGAATCCCATCTTCAACAATGGCAACAGATGTTTCTTCCGCGCCTACATCAACGATAACCGCTGAAGAACAGCCTGCTCCATAAGCTGCTGCAAGCGATTCCTATCATGGCATTATACATTGGAAAGTGCTAACTTGGATCAGCAAAACGGCGTTAAAGTTGCATTTTCCAAATAGCGCGTTCAACCAGCTTTTAATTTCCAATCTGGTGCAGTTATCCGGGATCACAAGCACCACCCAATAATTCTACCCATGAGGCTTAAAATACAGTACCTTGAGATTTTCTAGGGTTATCCCCAACAAAGATTGGCACCCGCTGATTACCATTGCAGCCAACTCATCTTGACAATGGAGGCTTGCATCTATTTGCTCCTTATTTTCCAGTAGGACTTTGTCGCTCTCCGCCTTTTCTTGTTCTTGCTCTTCTTTTGTTTCTTCTTTTGATGCATCAAAGGACGCTGTTGGATAGAAGATTCGTCTCCGATGGATAGGATATCGAATTTCGGTTGACTCCTCATCCTTTGAAGGGAGAAGCAATGCCTACTGCTGTAATGAAACGATCCAAACCTCTTGTCCACATAAAAATGGAGATGCGTTGGCATCTGTTGGGAACTTGGAAAACTCGATTCGAAATGCGTCATTGTGTGCTGGGATTATAGTAGGAGATATTCCGGAATTGTAAGAGCATAACTGCGAAGCCACGTTGGAAATAGACCTTCTCGACTGCTTACCGGAAAGAAGCATGTTTGATTCTTTTCTTAGTTGCGAAGAATTTTCTTCCTACAAGTGAAAATGTTTTAAGCGCATACCCATTCACCTTTATCGATAAAATAAGGCCAAAATATAGGTCGTATGGACGAAATAATTCCGGCTGAGTGTGCTTGCTCCTGCTTGATCGTTGTATTTGAGGGATTGGCCTTTTTCTTGACGGCCAATACATTTCCTAGATGCTTTGGAAATGGTTCCTTTGCTAGCCCAAATTTCCATGTCTTTGAGCCAGGATGGATCACTATGACCTTGTCAGAAGGGAGAGGTGGAGATGATACGGATGGCAAAGCTGTTTGGTGGTCACCCTCACCAAGTTCTTCAAAAGGAGCAGCTACCAGTGGCGCAAATCCTGTTCCCGATTTCCACAGCTAAAATGGATGTGTAAAATTATGTGGGTACCGTTTCCGAAAACCAAGTGTTACATTTCCTCCTATATGATGACGTAATGGATCTGTTCATTGCAGAAAGGGGCCTTAGCATTGTAGTTTTGTCATCGCTCCTCATTGCCTCCAATGAAAGATGGAGGATTCGAGGATGCGGCGGTGATGCGCCTTGAAACGGTAATGAGGGCGAAACGGAGGCGGAGTAATCTTTCATTTACAACTAAATCTGAAAATATGGTATTGTGTAGAAATAAAAAGTTCCTAATTTTAATGAAAATCGAGACACCCACGATCTCTGTTGCTATCACCAAGGCAGAGCGGGAAAAAAAAGATGGCTCGCCTGCCTTGATTAAGGAGGAGAGTCATAAAAGTAAAAAGTATCATGATCCTATCATTAAGAAGGAGGCTGAGGAGGGTGACAATGATAGTGGCAATGATAACGATAATGGTGACATTACAGATGGACCTCCAGATGAAGAGGAGGGGGAACTTGTTTCCGATGCCATTGCTAAAGAGTACGTGTATTCGTCTTGCTTACCATAGAATATCCTCAAATGCACTTACCTTATATACATACGAGCTTTCTTTGTTGGAAAATGGTATTTATGTCGATAATACTTTATTTCGCAGACACACACCCTGAACTGCTGGAGGCACTGGAGGAGGCTGCCAATGCTCGAGACAAAAAGATCGAAATTGCCACCAAAAGATACCAGCTTGAAAAGGAAAGGATAGCTCGCACCTTTGAAGCAATGCGGGCCGCAAACCTTTCCGAGCTCAGGGTAATGGCGTTTACGATTATCAAATTATAGTCTGTCGAAATGGATATATTTGAGGCATTTTATAAACAAAGCTTCCTGTCGATCAGAAGGAAACTTTCCTCTCGCTCGCGAAATGCCGCCAAAAGTACCCAAGCCGTAAATGGAAACAACGCCGCCAAGCAACAATCGCCGCCAAATGAGGTCATCGCCACATCTCAAGTTTAATGATTTAAATTTTTGTATAAATCGAATGAAATTTAAAACTTTTAATTTATGAAAATCATTTCGCTTCTCATCGTCCGAAGAGAGCCTTTTCCAGCAACGGTACTGGTGCAGGAGCACGATTTATCGTCATTTAGCTTTTTTCAAAGGACATCGTATGCATATTTTTTGCAGCTAATTCTCAGGGCTACTCGAGAGCTTTTATCTTTTTTTGCTACTACATTGGTGGAGAAAACTACTCCTGGAGTGTACCAAGCAGTCCAGCAAGATGGTATCGGATGTTTTTTATCATAGCGTATACCGGATATGTTCATGTACAGCCTAACCAAGGACTTGCAGGAGTGGCCATCACCGATAATGAGTATCCCCAAAATGTTGCTTTTGATGTGATTACCAAAATGCTTACAACTTTTTCTTCGCGATTTTCCAAGTTGCATTGGGCAGGAATAGACAAAAACGAACTTGGGCCCTTATCTCTTCCACAGCTACGCGATATGCTTCGTTCATTCCAGGACCCAGCAGAGGCTAATGACTTGCTTAAAGTTCAAAAATACCTTGATGAAACTAGAACCGTTCTCACCACAACCATTGAAGCGCTTTTGGAACGAGGAGAAAAGCTCGACACCCTTGTTGAAAAGTCAGAGCAAATTTCCATCCAATCAAAGGCTTTTTATAAAGTTGCAAAAAAAACAAATTCTTGCTGCTGGATACAGTAAATCTACGCCACCCATCACTACCATTTGTAAAGTCTGCTTTAGGAGTAAAAATTTTAAACTCTTCAAATTTTACATTTACAAAATGATTTAACGAACTGATTGGACAATCAATAAACCAATCACAGATTCAAGCTAATTAATAGTTAATTAATTTTAGAATTATTGTTTACATGAAGGATCCACTCTCCTCTCCTTTAGAGTCACCCAAAGTTCCAATGCCCTCTTTCACAGTTTTGTTACATTGCAGCATAAAAAGAGACACTGAATTGCACCAATCTACAACTATTGGGGTATCTTCAACCGATTCTCTTCTTTCTATTAAACAAAACATAACTAAAAAGATGCTTTACCCTCTTGAGTCCTATATGGTCCAACTCGGCTCTGGGGAATGCATATTAAACAAGGATAGTAGTGAGGAATATCTCTCTTCAAAGACTATAGGGGAGTTTGTAGATATTCCTCTTTCGGCAATAGGCTCTACCTCTGTGGACACGACGACCCTGAAGCACTTGACTCTTGTTGTTAGTCATACAAAGTGCGAAATCAAAACACCTCAAATAACGGCTCAAATAACAACACCGCAACAGCAGCCACCTCTTCATATTCATACTGATGATAATTGTTGCACATCCCAGAGTAACCACGAAGATGAAGTTGTCTGTAAGCAGGATTCGCTCCCTCAAGCTGAGAATGCCAATGAGACTGTGGAGAACAATCAAAATAGAGATGCAGATCTCTTGAAAATGCTGTACAAGATCATTACATTTTTGATTCTAATGCGAACGGAAGCTGAGCTAATTAATATCGCTGCTGTTATGTTTATTTCTTTCCTATTAGGCTTGAATCATTTCAAATTGCTAAATTTTACGCTTAAGGTTCTCCCTGAAGATGAAACAGAAAAAAAAAAGAAACTAGAAAAAAACCGAATTTCATTGTTCATGGAAGAGGCAAAGAACATCATTTACACCTTTGTGCTTTCGGCATTCCCAACCTTTTCTTTAATTAATTCAGAATAAAATACTATGTAATGGACATTTAAAATTAAATTTATGTCTGCCATCCCCACTGCTGCTCCACCTGGTAAAAAGAAACAAAAACTCATTCCAAGAGCAATTTTTGACTCGCCATTCATTCCGCAGTCATTGTTAACAACTGCTGGGGAATCTTCCCCGGTCATTTGGGACAAATATAACAACAATACCATTTCTGAAAGCTGGGTTGAAACCAACTTTTCAAATACAAACATCAACAAAAATATGGTGATTGGACTTCGGGAAGTGATGCGTTCAATTGGTAAAGCGATTTCGGAGTGTTATCCAGATTTTGTTTTGATCGAAAAGCCCGGAAACGCAGGCAGTGGCAGGCCACATAGGATGATATATGATCATCTTCTATTAGTATGCTATCTGAGGCAAATCCCGGTGTTTCTTATGTCTTCTGGATCGGCATCATTTCTTGCCAAAATGTACAATTTGAAGAGGTGTTCCGTTATTAGCCCAACCGTAAGCCATGTTACTTACTTTTAACGACAGAAAGCAGCGAAGCTTCCGCTTCCCCTTCCACTCCAGAGTGCCTCGGCACCGATTGTAGAAAAACCAATAACATATTCGTTTCCCAGCCGCAAAAACAAAAACGACCTGCAATAGAAGCGACGGGCCGGCAAATGCGCCTCCTTCCATGCAAGCTAGAGCGAGAAGAGGAGAAAGTCTGCAAACAGCAAATAAAAGAAATGATTTAATGTATTAATGTTTTATTCGCCTTACTCAATTAGAAGCACTTACGATGGACGATAGAGGGACCGTGTTCATCGTACTCTTGTTTCGAAATCCACATCTGCTGGAAGGTAGAAAGGGACGCCAGAATCGAGCCACCAATCCATACGGAGTATTTGCGCTCAGGAGGAGCAACGATCTTCACCTTCATAGTGGGTGGGGCAAGGGCCGAGAGCTCTTTTTGCATGCGCTCGGCAATGCCTGGATACATGGTGGTTCCTCCAGAAAGGACTACATTTGAGTACAAGTCCTTGCGAATATCAAGATCACATTTCATGATAGAATTGTATGTGGTCTCATGGATGCCAGCGCTTTCAGATCCCAAATATGAGGGCTGGAAGAGGGCCTCTGGAGTACGGAAACGCTCATTGCCAATGGTGATCACTTGGCCATCAGGAAGTTCATAGGTCTTTTCAATGGAAGAAGATTTGGCAGCAGTTTGCATTTCTTGTTCAAAATCGTTTGCAACATAGCACAGCTTCTCCTTGATATCTCGAACGATTTCGCGCTCGGCAGACGTAGTAAACGAATAGCCGCGCTCCGTGAGCAATTTGATAAGGTAGTCAGTCATGTCGCGACCAGCCATATCAAGACGAAGAATGGCGTGCGGAAGGGCATATCCTTCATAGATGGGAACCGTATGGCTTACACCATCGCCAGAATCCAACACAATTCCGGTGGTACGTCCAGAAGCATACAGAGAAAGCACGGCCTGAATGGCAACATAGCAGGCGGGCGTATTGAAGGTTTCAAACATAATCTGGATCATCTTTTCGCGATTGTTCTTGGGGTTCATCGGGGCCTCGGTCAAAAGGACGGGGTGCTCCTCAGGCGCAACACGAAGCTCATTGAAAAAGGTGTGATGCCATATTTTTTCCATGTCATCCCAGTTTGTAACAATACCATGCTCAATTGGATATCTCAATGAAAGGATTCCTCTCTTCGACTGGGCTTCATCGCCAACGTAGGAGTCTTTCTGGCCCATTCCTATCATCACACCCTTGTGCCTGGGACGGCCAACGATGGACGGGAAAACGGCTCTGGGAGCATCGTCTCCAGCAAATCCGGCCTTGCACATACCAGACCCATTATCAACAACCAATGCAGCAATTTCGTCAGACATCTATGGATTAGAAAACTTTGCGTTTGATTAAATATAGATTATAATAAAGTAAGATTGGCTAGCAACGTCCTAAAATGTCGACAGATCATGAATCAATCAAATATCAAACATCAACAAGTCACACGGATAACATGCTCTTTTTGGCCAAGTGACGGTAAAAATGGGGTACCTTTAAATTGTGATCAGAATAAAAAGCATCTTGTTTGGTTCTTTTTGAGATGTTGCGAATTTGCGCTACGCAGAAAGCGATTTAAAACTTAAACAAGACTTTAATTTTAAAGCAATGGATTGGTACCTGGAGGTTGTGGACTCTCCTAGACTCCCAGCCGGTATTAAATTCAAGCTCTCCCCAGGAGCACCCTCATACACATTTGGGCGCGAAAAATCGGCCAATGAGCATCATATCCGGATTCCAGAAGTAAATGTCAGCCGTTCGCATGCCATTATGTTTTGCCGTGGCGAGCAGCCGGAATTCTCTCCCCCATTCATATGTGACATGGGATCCGTTATCGGGACTTTTGTCAATGATACCAGAATTTCAGAAGAAAGGATAAAAYCCCAGCCATATCAACTTTACCATAAGGATAAAGTTTCGATTGGCCAAACCCAGTTTAGAGTTGTTCGGTATAATACTCGTGAGGCCGATGATGATGATGATGACCATGAGGGGATAGAACTTGACGAAAATTTATCTGATCCTATGGATGGGTTTTCAGATGCTGAAGAGTCCTCATGCTCTTCATATAGCTCGAAAGTCAAGAAATTTGCAGCCCTCACTCGGATGAAAGACTGTGCGGAAAATGTTGTTACCGCATCTCAGTCTTCCTCAAATCCCATTCCAGAGGCAAACATTGGATTTAAAATGCTCAAGAAGCTAGGGTGGCAACGTGGTAAAGGCCTAGGTAAGGACCAACAAGGCCTTCTTGCACCAATTGACCCTGGCTTGGATAGTCCAGATCTCCGTTCTCGACCTTCATTCCTTAGATAGCTCCAATGGCTTTTTGTGCGGATATAGCTGCCTCATCATGTAATCTTTATTTTTCACCCTCAATTTCAACATGATCGCTTGAGAGGTATCCCTGAAGCTTAATTTGCGACATTTGGGCCATCGAGAATACCGTATTTCCTTCAATAGGCATGTTTACAATCTGAAATTCTCTTTTAATATCCGGCCAGCTTTTTGCGTTCAGACCCAAATATGTTTTCAAATTCTCGTCCAAATGACTCGGGGCAGATTCTTGGACGAAACCCGTGCTTGCTTGGATTGGCTCGTCAAATTCATCTTCTCTTTCTTCGTAAATGATATTTTCGTCTAATAAATAAAATCCAGCCGTAGAGAATGCCAATCTCTTTTTCTTTGGCCATCCATCTAAAAATTTCGCCATAGCATAGGCAGCTGGATGTGACTTTGAAAGAGATCTTATCGAAAAATTTTCATTGATCTCCTTTTCATGTTTCACAGAAGACTCTTGCGTGTTGTGCTCGGTGGAATGGTTTTCATCGGAAGACACTCTGCTTTTCTCTGGAGCATTTGAAAGTGTAGGCAAGCAAGCTCTTTCTGTTTCAACTTGAAAGGCTGTCTTTGGCCCCCAAATTAGCACAGAATTGTTGGATATTGATCCGAATAGCGGGAGACAACAATGAAATGCAAAATGTCTGACATCTAGCTTGCCTTCGTCAATTGTCTTCAAGTGCATTCCAGACGCACAATCCCAAATCTGAAACTCTGTTTGCTTTGTTGTCGTTTGGGCGCCTTAATACTTAAAATATCCCCATCTCACCTGCTAATATAAGTTTGTTGTCACCAGAAAAGGCTATTGATACAAAAACGGACTTTTTAACAGCATCCTTTAGCTTTAAAATGTCCTCTTTTCGAAATGCATTTCCTAAGAAAAATA